ACGAGGAGAAAATATTTGCAACTATATGTTCAACAAAAAACTAGGATCTAAAATATGTAAAGAACTCTCAAAACTCAACATAAAAAATTACAATCTAATTAGAAACTGGCAAAAGACAGGAAGAGACATTTCACTGAAAAAGATATACAGATGGCATATAAACACATGAAAGATATCCAGCATCACCAGCCATGAAATAAATACAAATTAAGACCAAAATGACATATTAATACCAACCTCTTGGAAGAGCTAAAAATAGACAATAAAAATAGACAAGACCAAACGCTGACAAGAATGCAATAAGAATCATTTATACATTGTTGGTAGAAATGTAAATGGTACATCCTCTCTGAAAAATAGTTTGGCAATTTCTTATAAAACTAAACATGCAATTACCATATGATGTAAAATTGTACTCTTGGGTATTTATCCCAGAGAAATGGAAACTTATGTTTCCACAAAAATTCATACGTGATTGTTCACAGAAACTGTATTAGTAATAGCCAAAAACTGGAGTACCCCAGATGTCCTTCAACAATGAATGGTTCAACAAATTGTGGTATATCCAAATCATGAAATATCACTTGGCAATAAAAAGGAATAAACTATTGATACATAAAACTTAGATGAATCTTGGGGGAATTATGCTGAGTCAAAAAAAATCCCAAAAGGTTATATAATGTATGATCCCATTTATATAACACTCTTGCAATGACAAAAGTATAGAAATGGAGAAAAGGTAATTGGTTGTTAGGAGTTAGAGTTATGGACAGAGGTGGAGGAGGGAGGGATGGAGGTGTGTATGCCTGTAAAAGGGCAGAAAAAGGGATCCTTGTGGAGATGGAATTGCTCTGTATCTTGACTGTTTTAACATCAACCTCCCTATAGTTCTACAATCTGTTACTGCCGAAGGAAACTGGAAAAATGTTACCCAAGATTTCTCAGTATAGTTACTTACAACTACATATGAATATACAATTATCTCAAAATCAAAAATATACGTATGTGTAGTGAGTGTGTGTGTGTATGTGTGTACAGAAAGCTATTTTAAAAAAAATATATTAGTACTATATCTAATTGACCTGGAGAATGTACAATATATTATTGTTAAGCACCTAAGTATACTACCTGGTATAAAGTAGGTACTCCTTTATTTGCCAAATAAATAAAAGAAAATTGCATAAAATATATACTATTCAATCCAAAAATTATAAATATTAAAAACTAAAATCCATGTGTTTATATAAATGCATATGAGCATGGAGAAAGGGGTAAAAGGATTCAGGATATGAAGTTAACAAAAATTACCTAAGAGTGGAGCAGGGGTTGGAAAGAGAATGAAATGAAGAGATTATTAAATTTTTTCTTTATACATTTTTATAATTTTGGTTATAATAAATATTTATGAAATTTGTATTTTTAGAAGACAATTAGTAAAAGATATTTTTCAAAAACATTTTTAGATGATGTGGAAAAAGGCAAACAACCCAAAAAATGAAAGTTAAAGAATATAAATGGTATGAATAAAACCTCAAAATGCTTTGAACACAGTAATATTCAAATGGTACAAAGCTTTCAAAATGAGGCAAATACAGTTCTTATCTGCAATGAAGTTGTGATGAGGCCCCAAGGAGAGAAGAAAGTTAAGGATTCGATAACAAACTAAGCACAAGAAGCAAAATCAGAAAGAGGAAGATAACTCTGTGACAACATATTAACTAGACCCAAGAGACAGCCCATGCCCAGGCTCTTTAGACTATAGAACAACTCTATGGCCTTGCTCCCTCTACACAAAAAGGGAGAAGGATGAGCTAAGAACACCTACGCAGAAGTAACTGGTCAATACAAAAAGTGGCCTTGGAACTGTTCACATTGCAGAGGAGGCAGATTTGAGGAATATGAAAACTGAGACAAAATTAACATTTGCAATGAACCCTCGGCTCAGATCAGTGACACTCCTAACAGTGCAGCAACTTCTACAGGGTGTTTTATATTGCTTTCAGTGCACAAACCAAGAGAATGGAGAAGGGATGCTGGCCAAGTAATTATGGAACGTTGAGTGTGTCATTAGAGAAGCTGGAAATCACAGTTGTAGCCAGTTGGGGGTGGAGAATCATGTTACATAAAATTCACAATGATAACTACAGAAGAGAGGCAGAAAAGTCCTAAAATGTGTTGTGTATGGAAGATATAGTAAAGAAGATAAAGAAGACACTGATTTGGGTGGATGCAAAAGTACTCAAGCTAATTTGGAGGTCAGGAGAAAAGCTATTTTATTTGCCTATAGATTTAAGGCAAAGCAATTTGGCTGCTCCTTCAACCCTGAACTGGTGCTTTGGTCTAGGGAAGGAAGGGGAAATGCAGGCTAAAGAGAATGAAATTACCCATGATAAAAAGATAGACACCAATCTGATTTAGTTTTATGAAGCCAACAGAACTCTCAAACAATATAGTCATTAAGAGAATCCATTTTGGACTCATACTGACCTGGATTCAAAATACAGACTCATTAGAAGTTTGAGGATCAGAAGTAAGCTACCCATGTCTAAGTTATTTCATTTGTCAATGGAAATGATAGTACCTACCTCATAGGGATAATATATTGAATGAGATGCTATGGAGTGCTTAGTTCAGTGTCTGACTCATGCTAAGTGTACAATAAATCATAATTTGAGAAACGACAAGTGTTGGCAAGGATACAGAGTAACTAAAAATCTCAAACAATGTTGTTGGGAATGCAAAATAGTAAAACTACTTTGGGAAAGCATTCGTTAGTTTCTTATATAGTTAAATACACACTTACCATGTGATAAAGTGATCCTGCTCTTAGGTATTTAAACAAGAGAAATGAAAACATAATTCTACACAAAGATTTGAATGCAAATTTTCACCACAGCTCTATGTAAAAAAAAATGAAAATAAAATATCTATCAAAATGTTAATGGATAAACAATTGTGAAATATTTATACAATGGAATACTATTTAACTATAAAAATAAATGAACTACTGATACCAGCAACAATATGGATAAATCTCAAAGACATGTTGAGAGAAAGAAGTCATACACAAAATAGTACATACTACATGATTACATTTATATAAAAATCTAGAAAAAATAAAAGTAAACTATAGGGATGGAAAGTAGATCATTAGGTGCCTGAGGCTGGGGCTGGGGTTGGGGCCAATGGTCCAGGAAGTTAACTGCAAAGAGTAACAAGGAAATATTTTGGGAAAATGAAAATGTTTTATTTCTTGATTGGGATGGTGCTTGTACAAGTATATATGTATTTGTCTAAACTCATCAAATTAAACACTTAATATGGGTACATTTACCTCAAAAGAATATTTTTAAAACTATAAGAAACCTAGAATAAATTTACAAAAGATGTGCATTGTCATCGTGGAGAAATCTTTAAACTCATTGAATAAGCGACTTGAATAAATGTAAGATATATTATGAATGAAAAGACTCAGTATTGGAAGGATAGTAATACTCCTCAATTAATCTATAAACTAAATTCAGTCTCAGTTAAGATCCCATAAGATTTTTCATGGAACTTAATAAAGTGACTCTAATAACCATGTAGAAGAATAAAGGTACAAAAACAGTCAAGATGTTTCTGGGCAGGGTGGGAGGGAAGATGCATAGAGAAGAACAAGAAAGGGTGACTCACATGCAGATATAAAGACAGGTGAGGAACTAGATATAGATCAGTGCAATAAGGAACAGTACCTAGATCAAATCTATTATAGATGGAAACTTGCTGTATAATAATTACACATCAGCAGAGAAAAGCACTGGGATAACTGAGATTCTTTAGAAGAAAAATAAGTAAATAAATTAGATCCTAGCCTCATGTCATACACACTAAAATAAATTTCAAATGGATTAAAAGAATTACATGTAAAAAAATCTATACGCTATAAAAAGGAAATGCATAATAATGGTTTTTTTTTTACAATCTCGGGGTAGGAAAGAATGTATTAAATAATACACAAAAAGCACATGACCTAGATATGCTTTTTATTAAAATTCAAATTTTCTGTAAGGCAAATAACACCATTAACAAAATTAAAAGGTAATTAATAGACTAGAAAGTTATATTTCCACCATAAGGTATTAGTATCTAGACTATACAGAGAAGGTATACAAAAATTACAGGAGGAAAAAAGGCAACTGAATAGAAAAATGGGTGACGGAAATGATCAGACAACTTATAGAAGAGGAAATCTAAAAGACCAGTAACTGTACGAAAAATGTAAATTAAAATAATGAGCTAATATTTCATATTAATTCACAAAAACATAAGAATCTGTTAACATGAAGTGTTGTCAGGGATGTTAAAAAACAGGATCTCTCATAAACTACTGATGGGAATACAAACTGGAACCACTATTTTGAAGAGCAATTTGATAATATCTGCGGAAGATGAAAATGTACATTTTTATAAACCAGCAATTCCACCTCTAGATGTATCCTCTAAAGACACTTTCATGTATGTGAAAATGGAGGCATGTATAAAAAATGTTAACGGCACTATACATAACAAATTTTTTAAGTCCATCAATAGGTAACTAAACATGAGTTAGCATAATTATATGCTGTAAAGCTATGTGTCAATTTAAAGGAATGGTAAAGATCTGTATCTCTGCATAAACAGAACTAAAACATAATTATCTGTACACAATAGGAAATTATGTAAATATTTTAAAACACTAATTCGCAAAAGCATTAAAAACCGAATCAGAAAGATATACTAAATTCATGACAATTATTGTCTCTAAGGTGAGAATGGAACAGTATAGGAGATAAAAGAGACTTTGATTTTATCTGTAATTTTTCTGCCTTTATTTAAAAAGAACTAAAACAAGTGGGACACAATGTTAATAATAATTGTCAATTCTGGATGTGTTGGTAAATGTGCATTTGTTTTTATTCTTTGTACTTTTATATACATATATATATATAAGCCACTTCTCAAATAAAATATGACAAAAAAAGAAAATACAAAGAAGTATATTGGAGACAAGGGTATCAGTTTTGAGGCTGCTGTCATAGTCTAAGGTTGTGAGGTGTAAAATAGGACATGCTCCAGTGGAGACAGAGAAGAAACAGATACAAAAGATCTTAAGGAGATGGGCCTCAGTAGCCATTTGAATTTAAAGATAAGGGAGGCTGTTTCTCCATTCATAATTCTGCGGATGACATTAGCACTTCTTCCTGTCATAAGAGTCAACCAAGCAATGTGAGCTTAGAGGAAGGGAGATGATGATGAGAAAATACAAAGGCGCTACTTATTTTCTCAGAAAAGAATTTCTGGGAATTAATTTCTGGAAAGGTGTCCCCAACAAAGGTAATCAATTCAGAAGTCCTTTCCAAATGCTAAAGAACCTTTAGAGAAAACTACTCATCTTCTGCAGGAAAGTCTTTGGAAAAAACATCTCAGCACCAATATTCTTAGCCAACATTGGTCAGAGAGGCTTAGTCAAAAAAATGCTTCTTCCATGCCTCACACTGAAAGAAAATAATAAATGGATAAGTTAAGAGAGTTTCAGGGTCCTAACACAATCTTACTGTCTTACAGTGTTGTCTGGGAGACAAGGATGGGAACTGTGACCTCACCATGCAGAACACTAGAGTCACTGCCATGATCAAAGATGAAATCAGTCCAAAGGACTGACCCAGATGCAGAGGAAGAGGAAATAGATGAGAGCAGACAAAATTATAGGAAACTAGATAAAAACTAGGTCTGATCTACTCCATAGCCCTACCAGTATCTACTAGACTTCTATTAGATCCTATTATAATAAAGAGGGAGAACAGTTTCTCACCCAAATCTATAACCTCAGTGCCAGAACAATCACTATCCTGGGGATTGGGGACTCCCAGAGCCCTAGAGCTTTATGGAATATTAAGGACATTCTCATGGAAGGACTGGGGAGCCTCAGATGGAGGAGAGAGTGAGGCTAGAAGACCTAGAAGACAGAATGGAGTGGCAGGTTCCATGACTTCCACATCTCCATAGCACAGTGCCACCTGATCTCACCTTGGGGTTATAGAGTCCCTCTGCCCTCCCAGAAACAGAGGGAAGGTGAAGCCTGAGCTACTGTGGTGCTACTGGTCACAGAGGGGTCTCATACTGGCCTGAGAATTAAGACTTGACAATTTAGAGTTAGCCTTAGGAGGTTTCTAGAAGAGGATTCAGTGTTGAGTGGCACCACTGGGACCCAAGATTTTCTGATCTATAATCTATTGTGTAAATGGATAACCTACTCTTACATGCCACTATTCATTGGTTACTGTAAGCAGAAAACCATAGGCCCACACAGACACAAGCTGATATTTGGGGTCCCTATTCTATAGCAGGTATTGGTGGTAGCTGCATTAGTCAAAGAAGTCAGAAAATCAGGGGCACTTCCCAAACAGAGCCCTCTCCTATTTCTCATGCTGGTCTGCAAGCAACTGAGAGTCCAATCAGCCTCCCCTCCTCCTTGTATTCCACCTCCACTCCCCACAGATGGCTGGTACCCACCTCTTAGGAGCAGGATCTGGCATATAGCCCCCCAAAATCACAGGTGTATTGTCAGATCCAGTATTCTAACGGCCAATGTCACAGGGAAAGACCAGCCAGGTAACCAATATTTGTTCAGTAACCTCCTATAATATTGGGCTGGGGCCTGGGAGGCCAACAAAGAAACTTGTCTAGAGACAAAGTCAGTGATATCCCCTAACACATCCTGGATTGCTGGAGAGTGGGAAACACAGAGTACATCAGATTTGCAGGAACTTAATGACTTCAGTTTTGTTGGGCTTAAGGTGTATGTGATTTATGAACTGTCTTTGTACAAACAGTGCCCAGGATAGTCATATGTCAGCCATAAGTCCTATTAGTGTTTTCTTGAAGCCATTTGAATGTAATAGCATTCAAGGGCATTTTTTTCCCAACCCTCTCCTTCATAGGTCTCAATGCAATGTTCCCACCTCCCAAGTGCTCCTGTCCTCCGTCACTGGATGAGAGTTCACCATCTGCCAAATAATTTCAGCTCTTTCTACATCTCCCCATTCAGCAATGCTAGGACTACTTGACAATCTGTCTCCTGAACTCATCCCAGGAACAGATGCCTTTTTCCCCATCTATCCTAGAAAACTACTCATGTGCTAAATCTCAGTGGAAATATTTGAAGTAGTGGCTAAGAGCAAAAATGCTGGAGCAAGACTAATTTACTATCCTAACTGCTATTTACTAGCTAGCTGTGTGACCTTGGGCAAGTTACTTCATTTCTTTGTGCCTTAGTTTTTACAAAGATGGGGCAAATAATTGTACCTACTGCAAATGCATGTTGTGAGGCTAGGACTTAGAGTAGGGCCTGCACGTAGGAAACTCCAGAGCACTGTAGTCAGTACTGTTGTTAAGACTTTCCTGACTCCCCCTAACCCGCCCCACCCCAGAAAGGGGAACGGGCTCCTTTCTTTGTGCTCCCACCATATCTGGCGCTGACTTGGGTCGACACAATTATTTTAATAATACTCTGACAAATGTTTGCATCACTGTGTCTACTAGACTGTGATCTCCTGGAGGGGAGCAGGGCTTTGTGGTTGTCCCTGCATTGTCACCACATGGCATGAGGCCAGGCACAAAAGAGTCAGTCAGTTCTGCTATAGAGCTGGTTTTGAAATGCAGATTTGTTCCAACCAATTGATATATTAGGGAACTGAGCATAATATGAATTTCATGTCTGCTTATATGTGATTCCAATCTACAAGAAACTAGGTGAATGAAGAAAACTGCACCCAGCTAAACCCAGCCACATAGGAAAACCCAGCGTGCACACATGCACACACGCAAACATCCATCAGCTGCCTCAGTTCACCACTTATTTTATGAGCCACACCCATCCACATCCGGTGTTACAACATTCTACCTAATTTCAGATTAGTCTCTCCTTCTACCTCTTCACAATAATTCACAAGTTGCTTCCAACACTCACTTCCACAGGGAAAATTCCAGGTCGTTTTCAAGGTAAAACATCATATTTATTGGTGTATTTATGTACTTTCTAACCATTTAACATGTGTAAAACAGTGCTACCATTTTTATTAGGTTCCTATTCTTTTTTAAATGTGTCACTGATGAAATTTTTTAATGTTGTGCCCCTACTCTCATTTTTCCTGTAAGCATTATCTTGCATAGTGTTGTGATTTTTAGGATCATAATCAGTGGACTTGTGGTTGATGACAACTAATTCTTTCTTTCTTACCTTCATGGATACCTGAAACTGTAGGAGCCCCTGTTAGTCAGCAAACACCATTTGGACCAGCACTTCTGTCCCGCAGTTAAAAGCAAAAAATATTTACTCAGAGACAACTATATGCCAGGCATTGTAATGAACAGTAAAGATACTGTGGCTAATAAGAAGCACTGCCTGTAACTCTTTCAGTCTACTGGGGGAGAGAAAGACAAGTAATTACAACAAAGGGGAATGGATGCTATTAAAGAGTAAAGCAAGGTCTTCTCTCCAGACTTCAGGGAGTCAGCAAAGACCTCCCAGAGGAAGTGTTCCTCTTTCCCAGATCTTTCCACTCCCATAAGTCAGTCTCTTTCCTTGTTGCCCCATCTCTGCCTCATTCTACTTCTTGAGTTACCAGGCCTATCAACACTGAGCAAAAGACAAAACAGGGAAGAGTTAATGTGGCACAGGTGGGAGGGGTAAAGGCCCTGAGGGAAGCAGGTAGAACAGCCACATAAAGGGCCCCACTGGTCAAGGCAAAGAGAATCTACCAACACAGTGAGAGCTCAGGATCTTTCCCCAATCAAGTCTGCTACTGCTTTCTTCCTCCTTCATTTATCCATTCAACATTTATTAAGCTTCTGCTCCAGACTAGATTCTGGGAGGAATCAGTTCTCTTCACCTTGACTTCTCCAACATCAGACAGAGATGCTTCGTCTTACTATGGCTGCTACTCTAATGGGATCCCCTTCTGGATTGTGAAGAAGGAAAAGAGAGAAGTTCCTTTTTTACTGCCATCTCTCTTTGTTGCTTCCCAGGACCAGCTTCGACTCTCCAGCTGGTGTTCAAGTTCACCATTTCAGCATCAAGTTAAAGACAATGTAAGCACCCCACACCCTAAAAACCCACCAGATTTTCTCCTGTCATATCAGGCTTCCAGCTTCACTCCAGGTCCTATCTGCCTCCTCCTCCTGTTTCTCTCGTTCTACTATCCTCCTTTCTTCATGGAGGATTGGTGCCCAGAATGTTAAAGCTGAGCAACACCTAAACCTACCCCCATTAGAGAGCTGAGGAAGCTGAGGCCCAGGATACACAGTCAGGGACAGGACCAGCCTGAGGCCTGATCCCCACCCAGTGCTAGCTTTCTCCTCATCTCCGGAGACTGAGATTGACTCTATTTGGACCCTGAGGAAGAAAAACATTCACTCAGCTCCACTTTCAGTTGACCTCCACTGGTGGGCTCTGACTACACCAGCCACTGCAGCAGTGACCCGCCCCCACCCTCCATCTCATTACCACTGTCTCCCATTTCTCCCCATACAACACTCATGGGCTTTCAAGTGCAAAGGATTCTCCCATCCTACCTAGTGTTGTGACCTTGATTATCTATCCAAAAGCCCAAAGGTTATAACCCTGTGATAACCCAGCCCTGCACAATCCCTACACATACTCCATGGATGGGTCTGTGCCATTGTGACACCCCAAAACCCCTCCCTTTGTCCTTCCCCTATTAAGAATCATGTATCCATGAACTCTAAGGCTTTGCCCCCCACAGGATGGCAGAAGCTCCACAGCCCAACTCCACCTTCCCACGTCCAGTCTTCTTCATACTGACTGGCATTCCAGGGCTAGGGGGTGCCCAGGCCTGGCTGACATTGGTCTTTGCACCCATGTATCTGCTGGCTCTGCTGGGCAATGGAGCACTGCTGTTAGTGGTACAGGTAGATTCCACACTGCACCAGCCCATGTTTCTACTCCTGGCCATGCTGGCAGCCACAGACCTGGGATTAGCCACATCGATAGCCCCAGGGTTGCTAGCTGTGCTGTGGCTTGGGCCCCGTCCTGTGCCATATACTGCCTGTCTGGTCCAAATGTTCTTTGTTCATACATTGACTGCTGTGGAATCTGGTGTACTGTTGACCATGGCCTGTGATCGTGCTGTGGCTATAGGGCGTCCACTGCACTACCCTATCCTGGTCACCAAAGCCCGTGTAGGCTATGCAGCCCTGGCACATGCACTGAAAGCTTTGGCTATTTGTGTGCCTTTCCCTCTATTGGTGGCACGATTTGAGCACTTCCAAGCCAAGACCATAAACCATGCCTATTGTGCACACATGGCAGTGGTGGAATTGGTGATAGGTAACACACGGGCCAACAACTTGTATGGGCTGACACTTTCACTGGCTGTGTCAGGTGTAGATATTCTGGGCATCGCTGGATCTTATGGGCTCATTGCCCATGCTGTGCTGCGGCTGCCTACCAGGGAGGCCCGTGCTAAGGCCTTTGGTACATGCAGTTCCCATATCTGTGTCATTCTGGCCTTCTACGTGCCTGGTCTCTTCTCCTACCTCACACACCGCTTTGGTCATCACACTGTCCCAAAGCCTGTGCACATCCTTCTCTCTAACATCTATTTGCTGCTGCCGCCTGCCCTTAACCCACTCATTTATGGGGTCCGCACCAAGCAAATAAGGGACCGGTTCCTGGAAACCTTCACATTCAGAAAAGGCCAATGAAAACAATGGAAGCTGGGAGTGGGTGTAGGGGGACATTCAAAGGCAAATCTGGGGTCTGGATGTGTGGATTATGTCAACTTTGTCCCATTGCATACAACTATGATAATCAACAGATTTTTGCTGTGAAGCCCCTGCCTAGCCATATAACCTTTTTGGGAGGAGGCAGGGGGCTATGTGTTACCATGCAGGGAAAATAAGATTAAGAATTACTGTGAGATCATAGTACATATTAATGTAAAACTCCCCTCCTCACTACCCCCATCATTTTAACCTAAGTCTGCCCATGTTACCTCACCAAAGCTCCTCTACAGATCTTAAACCTGGGGGTCTAGGAGTGATACTGCCTCTGGAGACAAGTATTAAGATACTTGTCTAGGGTCACAGCCCTCTCTCTTCCCAGAGCCAGGTTCTATTTTAGCCAGTCCTTATTGAAGGAGTCATACGGGTTTATCCCTCACTTCTAAGAATCTGGATAATGCATCCTAAGGTCCCAATCTGGCCAGGACACTGATCTTTAAGACAGTCTCAGGTCAGAGAATCCTCTTGGTCTCTTATGTAATCACTAACTCCTTTATTCTCCACTCCCTGCCAAAGTCTTAAGAATTGATGGCTATAAGTTTTCTGCCTGGGCTTACAGCTTCAGAAGTCAGGGGTTCAACTGAGATAAATTTTGATATCTCAGAAAATCATTGTAATCATGTCATCTGCTTGCCTGAGGTCCAGAGTCACGATGGTCTCTTACCAACCTGCCTTTTGTATATCCTCAGCCAAGAATGTAGAATTCCCAAAGAAAATCCTCATCAGTAACCCCATGTGTCCTGGCCAACACCACCAGAAGCACATGAAGTTGGTACACTATGATGAAATAGGAATATTTCACCCAGCTGCAGCTGCCAGAGAATAGAGATATTAACAGGAAGTGTCATGGTATTACCCAACAGGGGTTTCACTTTCCACTCCACACTGGGGGGGACATTGCACAAAAGATCTTTCACACCAGCATGGAGTCTAGAATGAGTATAATCTCAGAAAGCAGAGAGTCACTGCTGAGTCACTGCTTGTATGCAAAGCAGACCCAAGCTCTCCAGAAAAACTACCATAACTGCAAGTATTGGAATTAGCCGTGAAGACCTGAAGCCGGGTGCAACACTGACCACTCAGCACAGATAGCTGGACCACGTACCACGGATACCATATAGGAGGCCACAGATCTGAAAAAGCAGATGATGCCATGTCCAGGGTCACATCGGGTCTCACCAGGTCCTCATTAACAAGGAACTAAAGAGATCGCCCAGAAGTTCTATAAGATTTTCAGAGGTATTGACATACTCAAATCAAGAGAATGAAGAAATCTACACTTTTTCTCAAGCGTGTGCTCAGTCATTCTCTCATGAAGCTCTGAGTTAAAAAGCCCTCCAAGCAATGATTTTTGTGGGTAACTGTGACAAAACACTAATCCTAATGGGTCACAGGTCTTTACAATGTCTGTATCTTTCTCTTATGGGTTCCTCTTCAATAAATCTATCCTGACAAAATAATGAGATGTGAACAAAGATGTATGCAATAAGGTATTTATTACAACATTATAAAGAAATGTGCGACAGTCCTGTGTCACACATACACACATGCACGCCATTTTTGTCTTTCCCCTCCAATGCATGAAAAGGGAAATCATATGCAGCCAATGTTCATAAGCAATGAAATCTGTCATCCTCCCGGCACAGGAAGCCTCTCTTCTAAGGCACTTTCTCCCGTTGGTTGCACAGCTCCCCAAGGCAGCCGATTCCAAAGTTTTGCATTGTTCATTGAGAGAACTTTCTTCCTGCAAGCCAAATAGTCACCCCCTTGGACATTCGTATTTTGTTGTGGACTGACACTGCATACATCCCTACCACGTGCTATGTCTGGAAGGCTTTACCAGCACTCTCTTATCACAACAACCTGAGAACAATTATAAGCCTTTATCCACAATATCAAAAATGAAATCTGAATAGTTCATAACTTTGGCCCGAAACCTAACCTGAACCGTCACAATTGTATTTTTATTTATCTTAGTGTGGTTATTCATATATTTAGCTGCAGAAATACTGATGTGTTTGATTATAGGGCAGTGCCCTGAATCTCACTGGGATATGCCTCAGTAACTCTGCATCTTTGTCTCCATCTTGTTCTGTTGGTCAGTTTTGCCTCATGTCTGTGTCTATTATGTAAGGGCACTATATTCCCTTTCTAAAATCTGAAAAATTCTGAAATTGAAAAACACATCTGTCTCAGAAAGTTTCAAATAAGGGACTAGAAACTTGTAGGATTATCCCTTCGCTTGAGAGAAGTGAAGAGACTAGTTAGGGCTCTTTATCATTTTAAAATCTTTGCCATCCATACATTCTATCCTGCTTTAGAGGTCCCTGTAGAGAAACTCATGTTCTCTAGATAATCAGCCCCTGCCAGTTTGTTGCCCTCATTCTCTCCACTCTGGTCACCCCTCAAGATATGCTGCAGATGATCTGTGACTTTTTCCCCAGTGAAGCCCCAGAACATGTTACATGGGAGGCAAACCCCATGAGCAGGAGGATATGGCCCACACAGCCCAGCCCTTGGGCTCAACAGCATCCGGAACACAGGTGTTATCTTTTTACCTTTAGCAACTTTCAGTCTCAGACTCTATGAGCCAAAAGGAAAGATAGGCTTTCCTAACATCAGAGTAGGGCAGTGTGGAATTTAGGGAGCCTAGAAAATCGTAATCAGGCAGCAAAAGAGAGGAAACAGAGGTATGGGCTTCTGAGTACAGAATTCATCAATACCCAATTTCCTCTCTCAGCTCTATGAACAAAAATCTGAGATACTCATCTGATTTCACCAATAGCCCATCATCCCTGCACCTACCTCATCCACACCCTTCTCATTCTGGAACCCCCTCAGAATACAGATATGCAGCATTCCCTGCCCATCTATTAATAACTCTTACTGTGTCTGAACCTCTGCATCTCTGTCTCCTTCCATAGGTCAGTTTTGACTCATGCTGTTTCTCTTGTCCTTGTGTCTCTCTCTACTTCTGTCCACCACACTCAGAATTCCTTTCTGCAGGGAACGGAGGTACCAACTATACTATACCAGGTAATCTCTCCTTGTCAACCATAATTTTAAAAATGTGCTAATGGGGCATTAGGAGGAAGACACTTGGTCATTTGTCTC